GTAAAGTTTAGAGAATAGTTCTAGGCGTACTAATAATAGTACGAATAGAACTTAGCAGTGTTAGAGGATCTAGGGAGGATACTATAACATTAAGATTAGATTAAAGCTACTAGATTTTTAATTACTAGTTCTAGAGCTCTTGCTATAGCTGCTATATAAGTAAAAAGAGAGAAGACTAGTTCTAGTTAGACATAGTAGAAAGAAAAACTAGCTAGTAGAATATAGTAAAAACTCTACGCTAAGAGTACGCAATAGCTATCCTAGCTGTCGTCTACTATCTAACTAGATAAGCAAACCTAATGTTATAGGAGCAACGCGCAGGGACAACAAAGCTTAGACAGAAGCTTACTATTATATGCTACGTATAGTAATCGTAATAAGCTAAGAGGTTTGCTAAGGAGCAAACCTATACATAGAGTACGCGAGAAGATATAGAGGGAAGGTAGGCACGTGCGCAGGCACGTGCGCAGGCGAGGATTAGGAGCGAGAGTAGGATTAGGAGCAGGAGTAGAGACGCGAACCGCGTGTAACGACACCGTTACACTACGAAGCCTAGAAATTAGTGTATATTAGTATTAGAACTATTATCTAGATAGGCTAGCAAGCATATATAGATAGTAGTTAAGAGAGAAAAGGTAGGTCTCTAGGGATAGCTAGTCTTATTTTACAGGATAAAGTAGGGCGGAGTAGATTATTAATAATCTAAGACGCGTTAGCTGTCTGCTAAGCCCGCCTAACTGGGCATAGCTGCGGAGGAATCGCGGCTGAAACCGAGTAGGAATAAACCAACCAACCAACCAACCAACCATAACTTCGAGATACGGTCCAACGCGCAGCGATACCTACTTTGGTAACGTGAAAACATGCCATCGCGTCGCCCTCGAGCGCCGAAATCCGCCGATGTCCCCTCCGCTGACCGAACGAATGACCTGGTCGAGCCCACCACGTCCTCATGCTTCTCGCGCCCAAGCATACCCAATTCCTAGACCAAGCAGCAGCCGATATCTAGTCTCGGCTCGTTGAAGGGGAATAAGTTATATGGTCGGATAGAGTGGGGCGGCACTGGAAATCGAAGCCTGCGCCTCGGCGAGTCGTCGAATTGACTCTGCAGCGTCGCGCACCATAGACAAGAGAGGCAGCTGGCCTATTAAGTCTAGGCGATGGATATACAGCTCAAGAGCTTTAATTTGAGCTGGATTTAGCTTCTGGTTGGTCTTAGGGCGAGTGCTGCGTGAGTTGCCGCCTTAACGCGTCGACGGAGGCGCTGCGCGTCGACATTGTACATGCGCGCAACGGCAGTTAATTTATATGAAGTCTTCGTAGAAATATACTTCAGAGCCTGCTCTATCCGATCCTCGTGCTTGCGATAGTCGTCTGCCATAATAATGTAGAGAAAAATTGAGTATAGAGGGTGTGCTTGGCAAAAGTTTCATTGAGCTTGGTTTTTTCATTGAGCCTGGTAGCACTACCGAGCGAAGCTCGGTAGTGCGTGGGGCGAGTAGGCATAACTAGTGTGGGTGGAGACTGTGGCGTAACGGCTTACAAGGAAGAAAACACAGACTATTACAGGGATTTCAGCCAATCATTCTCTACAAAAGTGTGCTGCCGCTGCTGTTCTGTCAAATACGAACGCACAGACGTGACGCCCACTTACACTACTTATGCCAGATATCGTTGAATACATGCCGCGCTCAAGGTCCTAACAAGCTCAGGGGACTGTCCAGAGCACATGGTTCCAGTTCCGCGCCCGCTGCAGCCGCCACCAATGCTGGATGCGTATGGCACCTGCACTACCTGAGACTTCCTGCTACGCAACTCGATTGCGCCTTTATTATGTCATCTAACTTTAACAAGGAAAATTAAACAGATGGTGTCTCTCATACGTAGCGTAGCCTTCCTATATAGAGCGGCCTTTCTTACTCCAGTAGGGTGCCTTCAGATAGCCCAGGCCAGCATGGCGATTGAGATCACGAAAACCACACCGGCCGTACCTCCTAAGACTGCAGCAGCCCCCCCCGCGCCGAAAGCCAGTTGCACTGGAGGCTGGCCTTCTGGGACGCCTCCTCCACCTGGATAGACGACGTCGTAAACGTATGGGAGGTAGTTCCAAGTATCAACTTTCGCGCAAGTGTCTGCATACTTCGTCTAGTCGTATCGACGCGTTAGTTAATGCTTCGACGGTGCGGGCCTATTAACTTACAAGGTTAAGAGCGCATAGCTGCATAAAGGAGAGACGATTTCCAATCTTCTGGGCTTCATAAGCATAATAGCCCTGACTGTATGCAGCCTTGGCAATGTCTAGCGCTTTCCAAGAAGCAAGTAGAGATAGAATGCCGAAAACCAATGCCACAATTGAGATGCCAAGCTCAAGGAAATTTTGTTTTATGAACCATTTGAAACGTTGCCCGATCATCTATTGTAGAAGTTAGTGTGCGTAATAGAGGGAATCCTAACATACAGTTCTGTAATTAATGACAGTACTACTATACGTACTCGACATCTCTCTCTGGGCGTCGCTCTGAGCGGTGGAATCGGGTTGCCATTCCCATTTGGATTGCCGTTCTCCGGATCACTAGGTCTCGCTGCTTGCCCATTGGGAATTATCGGTCCCATTGGTATATTATCGGCGTTAGGCATACCATTGTCGTCAGAGATACCTTGGCTGCCAGGCATAGTTGGGACAAAGATGATGGCTATGAATATGGGTTTCAGTGGAATGCGCTTGGGTACTGCGTCGAAGATATCTAGTACTTTATAACTGGGATCCAGCCACCGAGTCGTGGGACGCGTGGCAGGCTGTTTGATGAAAACCTTGTGTATGAAAGGCGCAATAGATTTAAACCCATCGCAGCGATACCAAACAGCCGATTCGTTCTTCCAGGAAGAGTTGCATCACATCACCTTGGCAGGAGAGTTGTTGAACTGTGCAGCTTCCACCAACACGTGGCTCGTAGACGACGCTGGCTGTTGAACGGTGTCATGATTGGATGAGTACATGTATTCTTATCTGTACAAGACCGGTGGAGTTCATGGCCCTTGGTTTCATGCTCAGCTCCCAGATGCGGCATACGCGTACGGCAATTGTGGCGCTATGTAATATGTGCCTTGCTACCGGCGAGTCATACAAACCTCCCAGGCAGACAGACGAGTATGGAAAGGCGGTGAAGCTACTTCCAGAACATCGCAGCGATGAAACAGAGGGCGTTAAAAAAGATCCTTCTCTTGTGACTAACATCGCAACGTGTCCTTGCGCCACACGATTAAGTTTCCCCCTATTGTAGGGACTTGGGGAAATTCCCTAATCAGCGGTCCAAATTGCCTGTTCTTAGAAGGGAGTTCCCTTAGTATAGGAGCATAGTGCGACCAGGTACAGCCGCTTGTAAAATCGGTTGCCTCACCGATGAATTCCCGGCGCACGGACATTTGTTTGCCTTATTTTTGCGCCCACACCGTGAACGATGCAACACCTAAAACAAAGCAATAAAGTTAAATTGGAATGGAAGCTTTGCCGAGCCTTTGTTTCAAACACTTCCTTACACTGGCCTGACCGGTCAAAGGTGCGCAAAGGCGTCCTCACATGCTATTGCTCCGCCTCCACTAGATGCGCCGCCTCCACTAAATGTGCCGCCTCACGAGCTGCTCTGCCTCCACTAGATGCTCCACCTACAAACTTTCACCGGTGACATTTCAGGGTCACTGTACTTCAACATTGGATCAAGGTCTATCTTCGATGTCGAGAGATGGTGAGATATATTTCAACTTTTGTCTGATTTCATATGGCTAATACTTTGCTGGCAGGTGCGTTGAATCAAAGCTCGAAACGGGAATACTTAGAAGGATTCTATTACATTACAACAAATTGTGGGGAAGGTCTGCTACCGACCCACTCCAGCTTTACCGTCCTAGGTTCCAGACTGGTCGGCTGAAAGACAAGGCTCTGAGATGCTTCTCTATACGAACTGTCGTCCCAAAAGCGTGCTTCAGTACTTTGATCGTGGAGAATGTCGCGCTTCCGGTGAGCTCTATGCCAATGCTAATCTCTTCACCCTCTTCAAAAGGAGCCATTCAGCGTTCCATGATTACGACTCAAAGTCGTCCTCGGGACTAAATGTTCGTGTCCATAGCCTCGACTTCCGGAATCGCACCTTCCTGAGCCGTATCGCCAATAGATGTACTACCCTCGTCCTTGTTTTCAGAAACCAAAGCCATTTCTTCATCCGGTCGATAGTCCTCCCACAACTCATCCCAACCAGAGGCTTGGGTGTCTCATCGTCGTCCTCCTTACAACGCTACATAGGGATATACCTTTTTGTATTCCGCATATACTTCCACAGCCATTGTTTCGAGCGTCCATCTTTCTGCGACACCCAACCCGGTCCAGTAAACTCCGACATGAATTCGGCCCAAAATCGCTGCGCCGGCGATAGCATCTTCCCGGGGCATCGTTGCAAGAGTTTCTGGACCCGTAGATACCAGTCGTTGCGACAGTCGCCCAAGCGGAGCACCTGAGACACGTTGAAGTCAATGATTACGACGGTGAGCAAAGGGTTTTTGTATCCGCCCTTGATAATGATGTTCCGGGGTGAGAGATCGAGATGCGCGACGCCGGGGTGGAAGATGGCGGCTTCGGCGTGCATTACTTCGCGCATGATCTTAGTGCGCTGGGCTTTGCTTAGTTCGCGTGGCCATATATCGCTCATACAAGTGCTTTGGATGTATTCGATGAGAACTAGTCGAACTGAGCGTGTGTGGGTCTGCACCTCCGAATTTTCGCGCGTTCGGGTTTCCACTTGCGTGGTCTAGCTACCGTAGTATTTGGGTGTACACAACAGTCCACTGTCTTGCAACTCCTTGTAGGCTGCAGCCTCACGGGTATAGTCGCTGTCTGCATTGCGAGCCGGATTTAATCGTGTTCCGAGCGCTTATGCAATCCGCACAGCCGCATATCTTACAGTAAAATACCTGCGGATGTATAAGATGGGACGTGAGGGGTCATCTCGCAGTAGACAGGATCGGTGATTCGCTTCCGCTAGAAGTACCAATCGACGTGGCGACCCTGCACGAATTTGCCCGCGACAGTGCGCACAAGGCTAACGATAACTTCCGAGCATTAGAGGGAGGTTCTAGGCTTAGATAAGGTTATTCTACGAAAATTTAGAGTGATAAAAGCTTAACGTTAGCGCTGTAGGGAGGGAGGTCTATTCCGCTACGAAAGGAGGCACTTTACCAATTAGGCGCGGAGGCGATAATGCGAACGTAATTTTTAGAGAAGAGTAGATTATAGATATTTAGGATTAGCTATAGCAGATTATTTTTATAGAATTTTAGCAATATTTGTTGTGCGCATAGTATTTCTAGTTGCTGGAAGTTAAAGTACCCCTCGTTTGTCTCGCTACACAGGGTGTCTCGCTACGCAGGGATGCACGTTACTTTGACATTCATCTTCCTACACCTACCGTCAGCTAACCCATCCTGGGTATACTTACCTCTCGATTCTTCGGACGCCTCATAAAACCCCTGTCCCGGGAATACCGAAAACCATATTCTTTGAAATCGATCTTCCTACGTACCCATCAACGTCGTTGACGGAAAGCGAATCCGCGATACTCGGTTCGCTACCAGAGCTACTTGTTCGTTCCAAGCCTTCAGGACTGGCACAATCGGAACCAAAAACTTACAGCACGGCACACATCATCATACATCACCAGGTAAAGGCACTGGAAGATGAAGATCACGGTAGGCATGAGTTGGGGACGAGAGCCGCGTGTTTGCTCAGACGGAGGGCTCACGGTCGGTCGATAATGCGAGAGCGCGTTGTCATCGGAAAAAAGAAGGCTATAAAAGGGTGCCGGGATCCGTGTGCAGCAGAGATGGGAACAATCACTCAGATCGACAGATTGGTTCGCGAACGTGCCACAAGTAGGGACTTGCACGCGTGCACGGAGCGAAGAGTTTTACGTGCACGCTTAAATAGGAATCAATCTGTTGATCTGACTGATTGTTCCCATCTCTGGTGTGCAGGGCAGTCCTGTGTTGTTAGTTATGGGTTGGTCGTTAGCCTCACTTGATAGATGGCCATGGTGGGGAGAAGCAGGAGAAAGGAATGGTTATATATATCATGTGTGGGAAGCATTGTGAAGAACTTTAGATTAAATCTGCACTGTGCATGTAGACGGCTTCGGAGATGGAAGCACTGTGCAGGGTTGTGACGTTGTGCAGTTCGCTGGCGTCCTCTTGGAGACATCTGAGTCGTTGGATATTATTTCAGTCATGTGTTATGTGGGATGCATCTTTGTCATCTTTCCCCCAACCCCAACCCCAACCCCAACGTCCGATGCCCGGACACCAGCGTCGGAAAAGTATACCAGCGTAGAAGGCAGGGAATGGTCGCTCCCAATAAACCGGCCCATTTCTCCCTTCGGAGCAGCAAAGTCCGGGGTAAGCTCAGCAACCTCGGCACAAGACCCTAACGCGGAGACTCGCGACAAGTTATCCTCAGCACATGCAGCCATGTAAGCTTCAAAGCAACACAGCTAGGTAACCTATCTCAGCTCCTCATACCCGCTACCTCGTTCATTCCTACCCCATTCACCATCCGAAGCACCGAAACACCGCCCACAATGGCCATCATCAAACCCGCAACCAACCCACCGCCAACCTCCCACGTCTTCCTCACCTACCCCGCGCCCTACGTTCTCCTTGTGACGATAAACCGCGAGCGCCAAATGAATAGCATCCCGTTTGCAGGACACACCGAAATGGGCCAAGTCTTCGACTGGTTCGACCGGGAGCCCAATCTCCGCGTCGCAATCATCACGGGCGCGGGCAAGAAGGCGTTCTGCGCAGGCCAGGACTTGATCGAGTTGGGCAAGATTGGGGCAGGCGTGGTGAAGAAGGATCCGGCGGCCCAGAGACATCCGTTGAGTGGGTTTGGCGGGGTTAGTCGGAGGATGGGGAAGAAGCCGATTATTGCGGCGGTTAATGGGTTTGCGCTTGGCGGGGGTTTCGAGATTGTGCTGGGATGGTAAGTTTGGTGCATTTTCTTGGAGATTGGGTGTGCTGCGGAAGAGAATGCGTGCTCGTCTATTGAGGCCGTGGTCGGCTGAACCTCAACGTGCGGGAATCATCACTGGTACATTTAGGCTACGAATAGAACACATTGCTAACTCGAATTGTAGCGACATGGTAGTAGCCGCTCCCAACGCAACATTCGGTCTCCCAGAAGCCCTCCGCGGCATCTTCGCCGGCGCCGGCGGCCCACCCCGTCTCGTCCGCAACGTCGGTATACCCATCGCCTCCGAAATGGCTCTGACCGGCAAGCCCATCACAGCTCAACGCGCCAAAGAGCTCAACCTCGTGAACCGCATCTCCCCATCACAAGAAACTGTTGTCGACGAAGCGCTCAAGCTGGCGAACGAAATCGCGGCGATAAGCCCAGATGCGGCGATTGTGACGAGGGCGGCGTTGAAGGAGGCGTGGGAGACGGGGAGTGTCGAGAGGGCGACGCAGCTGACGATTGAGCGGTATAGCGAGGCGTTGAATATGAGTGAGAATGCGAGGGAGGGTTTGTCGGCTTTTGCGCAGAAGAGGAAGCCAGAGTGGAAGCCCTCGAAGCTGTAGGGCGTCAAGTGCGATAGTCACAACTATCCGTGTCGAATGTCTCTTGCATCGGCACTATTGCGTCTGGTTCAGGCTTGCTAAATGAGGTCCACATGGCATGACAAGTCTAAGGAAAGTTTGAGATAGAAGCCATCTGAATGCATGCCCTCAAACCCCGGTCGAGTCTCCAGT